AGAACACCAGCTTTGGCAAACTGAGAAGCATCCACTTAGAGACCATGGTTTCGGGCTAATGGCCCTCGTCAGTCTAGGGCGGACTTTATTCCATGAGATCCACACGGGATCTAATAGAATCTTCACAATCTACCAAAGAGATGTTTTGCTGGCAAGGTGGCTGGGCCAAATCTATGGCTAGAATATAGATGGAAAAATTTCCGGGAGGAAATTAATCCATAGGAAGTATTTGCCTCTTAAAAAGATGAATTTATCTTGAAAAGATATCTTATACAAAAAGAGAAAATTCTTCAAAGCCCCCTAATGTATGGAAGTAGAAACATAGATAAGAATGGAAACAAGATAACACCATATAAGATGGATAACTAACCACGAAATGATCAAAAGAGAATTCCAAGATATGTCAAATTGATCTCTCAATTCTTACATCCCTCCTTCAAACGCCTTCTAATCCTCAGGCGGCATGTGATCCATTTAAAGAACATATTCAGCCAATCAGAGAGGAATCGATTAAGGAAGAATCTAACCGCGTAATGATGATGTATTCATTATCAAAAGATTTCGAAGGATTTGACATCAATGAACTTTAACACCCATCAGATCAACTGATGGAAAAGGTGAGAAAAACACTTTCAAATTGCCAATCAAAAGATTAGTTAAAGCCACGTAGCATATCCGGGTTTTCATCAATTCGGAATCTTAAGATGTTTCAAGTGGAAGACATCAGAGAAAATTAGACGTTTTTTGAAATTATGATGGATTATATATACCAGACAAAATCTTTGATATAAATTTAGTTTTTATCAGCTATATATATAAATAGGTTTTGGAAATAGAGCAATTCATAAAAATAGATTTTCGATTAAAAGGCATATATTGGATCAAAAAAGAATTTATTTATAAATATTTAAGTTGGCTGAACGCCAACCTTTTTCAAGGTATAGCAACATATTAATGTCAACAACAAACTCTTATTTTTGATATATTTTATCATTGATATATTTAAGTATATATAAAGCATCTCATAGAATGTTTTAAAATTGAATACGACACGATACTGATGAATACCATAGCCCGACACCATGGCATATACTCATGGACAAAACTTAAGGAAGTTGTACCTTTTAACATGTATATCAGGATTGAGATAATAACTCTGAAGTTTATTACAGTGACCTTTATTGAAGACACACGAGATATCCAAGTATATACACTCATGGGCAAAACTTAAGGAAGTTGTACCTTTTAGCATGTATATCGGGATTCAGACAATAACTCTGAAAGATAATACAGTGACCTTTATTGAAGACAAACGAGATAACCAAGTATATACACTCATGGACAAAACTTAAGGAAGTTGTATCTTTTAACATGTATATCGGGATTCAGACAATAACTCTGAAAGATATTACAGTGACCTTTATTGAAGACAAACTAGATAACCAAGAATATACACTCATGGACAAAACTTAAGGAAGTTGTATCTTTTAGCATGTATATCAGGATTCAGACAATAACTCTGAAAGATATTACAGTTACCTTTATTGAAGACACACGAGATAACCAAGTATATACACTCATGGACAAAACTTAAGGAAGTTGTATCTTTTAACATGTATATCGGGATTCAGACAATAACTCTGAAATATATTACAGTGACCTTTATTGAAGACACACGAGATAACTAATTTACATTCATGGACAAAACTTAAGGAAGTTGTAGCTTTCAGCATGTATATCGGGATTCAGACAATAACTCTGAAATATATTACAGTGACCTTTATTGAAGACACATGAGATAACCAAGTGTGAACACTGTAATAGGCATTGTGTCAATGCATATTTAAAAGAAGTTTTGTCTCTTTTGGTAGATACATTTAGGTATAGGTGAAAACCTGTTTCAACTAGATAATTTTAATATAAACGTATAATATTGAATTTTATTGATTAAAGCATCTATATTTTAAGTTAATATAAAGGGCATTTCCTGATAGTGAAACTAAGAGTTTTTTTTTTATGTATGAACGATATTTATTCAATAGGCATTTTTTGTCTGGACAATTTTGTGTAAGGAAAATGTTATACACTTTGTACGAAGTCTTGTAAAGTATGTACAGATTTTCAGTAAAATGAAATAGGGGATTTAGACTAATTTTATATTTCCTGTAACACAAACAATAAATTGTTTGACAATTTTTGTTTGTTTTATATTTGAAAAAAGGGATGACACAATGAAAATGAACTTTTTTTAAATTTTCTGCCACGGATTCCACGGCCTCTTCCACGACTGCGGCTACCCCTGCCTCTTCCACGGCCTCCTCGGCTCATACCACCGAAATCACGTCTCTTTCCCCTTGATTTTGGTGCATCATCAATAAGCAACGTTTCCAGGGAAAGACTATCTGAAAGTATGAAATAGCGAATATTGTTACTTCAAATGCTGAGGATCTCCATTTGAATTGGATCTCTATTCTTGAGTGTTAATTTGACAGTTTTAAGATGTGTATTCATCGTGGCATCCACACCAGTAATTGTACCATGAACTTGGGTGCCATTTTTAAGTTCGATGGTGACTGTTTCATGGCTGAGTTTCATAAAAAATCGTACTAACTTTGTTACACGATCAGAAAATGCTCTTTTTTCAATATATCCACCTGATCCAAGTACAAATTTACTTTTGTACTATTTTTCATATTGATTGGCGTTCTCACGCCCTTTCGGCCTGAATACCAGTTTCATGGTTTTTCAAGATGCCCCAAAGACCAGCTTTTTTGGTCGTTGAGGTACAGCTTGTACAACACTGACGAGGGCCAACAGCCCGAAACGCGTACATGGTTATCTTTTCTTGATTAATCAAGAAACGGTATTTAGCTGATTCTGGAATAATTAAAAATCGACGATTAGTTGATATTTATTCCGATAGATGGCGCAATCCATCAGCAAATTTTAGTTACACGATCAGGAAATGCCCCTTTTTCTCAATTTATCCACTTGATCCAAGTATAAATTAACTTTTGTACTATTTTTAACAGATACATATTGATGTATTTAAATCATATATTGAATTTTTACTGTTTTGTTTACAGGTCGAATATAAAAAAATGTGGAACAATAAGAGCAAGCATTTCGTATTTCATAGAAAGTTACGCAAAAATAGAACAAAAGTGAAATTTTATTGGGATCATGTTGATAAATGAAGAGAAGGTATTTGACCAATATTATGAAATAAATAAAAAATAATTACTCTTAAAATTAAAGATACTTCGGCTAGTAAATCTTTTTATTGTTATTATGAGATAATAGAAAGATAAGAATCCGAAGTATCTTTAATTTTAAGAGCTATGAATGCCGGCCAGGCAGCCTCAATCTTTACGATATAAAATAACAATAATATTTATTCCGATGGATGGCACCAGCCATCATCAAGTTTCAGTTACACGATCAGGACATTTTTTTTATAGTTTTTCGAAAAGTTTCTTTAAGTTCTTAAAATGTCAGATTTCATGTATTTTCCTTCTAATGAGTAACTTTAAATGATTTACTGTAACGTATTTTGTTCAAAAGGTTTTACCACGAATATATAAAACGAAACACAAATAGAATCTGATATAAAGACTTCTTGAATGAAGAGAGATAATTATTTGCATTATAAAATATTCCTTAAAACTTTCTTAAATCTTTAAATTGTTTGTCTCAAATTCACACAATACTTTACAATTTGATTTCATTTAATTATATTTGTATACCAACCTTTTAAACATATTTCAATTGTGTTGATATATTTTTTCTCTTTTCATCTAACTAACTTACATACTAATTCTTGTACATATTTCAAATATCTTCTTTCTTTTCTTTCAATGTTTAGTTTACCTTTAAAGTGCAATTGTACCTAGGAGGACATAGCGCTTTGAGACGAAATAAAATAAAAATAGAAATGGGCAAAAAAACACACAATAAAAAAATTAATATTCTCAGAGAAGAAAGTTTTTTTTTTGCTTATTCCTAGTACATGTGGTACAGGCCATGATAATCATGGTGGGTAGAAGTTAGCGACTGCTTTTTACTGTAAGTGCACCACATGTCTACACATGTGAAAAGCAGTTCGACTTTGCCCGTACAAATGTGCCAGATCCCCGTTTAGTTACTTGCACTCGCTGGTGGGTTTGACTTTTGCAAGAATCGAGGACCATTGGAGCATTTTTTTTTTAAATCGGAAAAAAGGTTCCCAATGCGGGAATCGAACCCGAGTCGTAGCGGTTGAAAACCAACGGTTTAGACCATCCTTCCACTGACCCCGCCAAGAAATTTAAAACTAATAAGTGAATGAGAAATACCGTTATAAATAACGGGGTGTTAGGTATTTATTGTAAAAAGGTAATGAATTGATATAAATAAGCTATATTGAGAAGTTTTTCTCAAAATATAATAGATAATTAACCATCCTCTTGACTATAAATCCTTATAATAGTGTAGTCGGTGAAAAGTTGAATTTAGCAAGATTCTCAATATTTTCAGTATATACATATATAAAATATAATATGATGCGGCTAGTGATTGTAAAAAGACATTTGAAAACCATCTCGTATGTGTTTCTTTTCAACGAAAATTCAAAATTTATTTCAAGGAGAAATAACGATTATTTCTAACCTTTGGGATGAGGTATTAAAAGGTGAATTGTGAAGAGTAATGATAAACGGAAACATAAAAGTGTCCAGGGATGGGAATCGAACCCACAGTGTTCCGCTTACCGGGCAGATGCCATGTTCACCGACTACACTTTTGTAAGGATTTATAGTCAAGAGGATGGTTAATTATCTATTATATTGTGAGAAAACTTCTCAATATAATTTATTAATTTATTGCTTTTTTTTCAATAAATACTAAGCACCCCGTTATTGATAACGGTATTTCTCATTCACTTATTAGTTTTAAATTTCTTGTCGGAGTCGGTGGAAGGATGATCTAAACCGTTGGTTTTCAACCGGCTACGGAAAAATATGTTCAGGGTAACCTAATAGACATGGCATCTGCCCGGTAAGCGGAACACTGTGGGGTTCGATACCCATCCCTGGACACTTTTATTTTTCCGTTTATCATTACTCTTCACAATTCACCTTTTCATACCTCATCCCAAGGGTTAGAAATATTCGTTATTTCTCCTTGAAATAAATTTTGAATTTTCGTTGAAAAGAAACACATGCGAGATGGTTTTCAAATGTCGTTTCACAATACAGTATATATATGTTATATATATAAAAAAGCTTTCTGTTGTATTTGGGAATTAGATGGATATATTGAATTTTTATTATTTGTTTCTTTATTTTTGTACACATGAATATTGTTTTGCGGTCGTGGTAATAATTAATATTAATAAAAATAGTTATCAAAAATAGCTTTGATTGAGCTAAAGGAATATATAAAAATACATAATTTGATAAAAGTAAACCTGAATTGAGGCGTAAGAATATAAAAATTGAAAAACTTATTTACATAATGTACAAAAGATTTGAGCCGGCCATCGGGAAACAACAACAATAGAGCTTATATAGTGAAAACGGCGATCTCTGGTGGTCGATTTAACAGAGTATTTTATCTATGAAATTTATTTGAAAAATATATTTTTATATAACATATATAAAAATTCGAAACTAATATAAACACGTATCATAATCATACGAGTCTATAATAGTTTCGAATTTGCATAACAGATGGCACGCTAATGCATCACAGTATATATATATACAAGAAAATATTTCACACCATTTTTTCCTGATCTCCTTACTGCGATGAGAAAATATTGGGAGGGCTTGACTCATCAGTGGTGAACCCTCCCAGCGGTTTCGCCAATTTAATTCATCATACCGCTCTAATGTTATATATTACGTTATAATTATCAATATATATTATAGGAGAGAGTATTGTGGAATAAACTGCCGAAACTTCTGGGAGGCCTTACCATTAATGAACCTGATCCACATATAATTTATCATTAGAGTAAGAATAATAGGAAGGTTTTGTGTGTGTGAAATAGAAACAAACTCGGCGTATTGTAACGTAGAAAATGAGAAAATACAAACTTCAGGATGATATGACAAAAATGAATTTATGGCAAGAACAAATCAAAATTTGTAAAATATACCAGAAAGGCAATGAGGGAAGTTTACAGATTAGCATAAATACTGAATACCGTGGTCCATTTGGACGAGGAAAGCGAAGACTAGAACGCGGCTGATTCCACACTAGCCTGTTCAGTGATTCGCTAACCATGACGTATGCACGAAGGAACGTGTGGCCATTGGACATGCGTCGGACCAGGAGGCTGTTGTTGGGTGTTGTGCTGCCTGGAGTACAGGAGCACCATCTATGTTTCTTTTCTTCCTGTGGTGAATCTGTATAAGACCGCTGGTCTTAATGAAGCTTTGTGTGTGATTAGCATAAATAATAAAACATAAAAATTAATAATCTGTATACATAATAATGGATATTTTTTTACATAGTTCCTTCCCTATGGAAGCTGTGAGCTACAGCTTAAAATCTTGTTGCTACTGCCATGGATCTGACGTGTTTCTTGTCAAGGGTTCTTTCGAAGTCTTAAAATTTTGTTTCTAATAACTTTGCGTCCTTTTTTCTTGCGTGGTGAAGTGAGGCTTTGTCGTCTTATCGTCTATATATGCATCGTCTTCTTTGATGGAAGTCTTGACTTTTACCCGGAGGTGGAATCCTGGAGTCAGTCTCTGAAAATTTATATTACAGCACCCATGACCTCAAGGTTTTCTCAGCAAGCTTCACTTTGGCTTCTATAATCTACCAAGAATCTCCACCACAATGTTAAGTAGAAAATCAGGAAAGATAAACTTCAGAATGACAGAACAATTTATTTAAGGCAGGAACAAATAAACATTTATAAAATACCAGAGAGGCAATGAAGTTTATATATATACAGAGCAGCAAAAATAAATATAAAATTTATCAACAATAACAACAACAAAAAGCCTTTATTTAGGGTCACTGACCCTATACAGGATTCACCAGAGGTATGCATAAGAACAAAGCAGTGAGACAAAGGAAACAACGATATAGACAGAAGAAAATGAAAAAAAAATAAAAAAAAAACAAGAAAGAGAAAGAGGGAAGCAAGAAAAACAACACAAAAAGAGTAGCAGTAAGAAAGTGAGGAGTGAGTGTCACTTGGCCTTCTTCTGAGATATGGACTTGTGGAAACCATAAAACGCCGTAGCAATATACTTATTCTGGGTCATATTGTAAATTATTGATGAAAGTGAAGCACAGAGTTGCCCAGTTTTGAGCATAAGGATTCTTCTTTCTTCTTTCAGAGCAGAGCAATCAAAAATATAGTGAGTGATTTCATTTTTTAGTTTTGAATTACAGAAGGTACAAATCGGGTCCTCACCGCAGAGCATCTTGGTGTGGTTTTCTATACAAAAAACTTGAAAGTATTCTAACTTCTCTTGTGCGAGTAGTCTTACAACCGGGAAAGGAAAATCCCCTAAAAGATATCCCTCCGTCATGAAAGATATGTGAATGTCTTTGTAGTGAGAGTATAGATATATAATTTATTAATCTGTACATAGAATATTTACAATTTTGATACAATCTAATGGTCGCATCTCCCATCGAAATAAATGTCAAAACTAGGTCCCATCTATTGACCGTCTTCACAAACTAGCGTACTCATGTCGTTGACAAAGCCACAACACCAGTATTGGACAGTAAGGACAGTAGAAGTTTGTATTATGTATAAAAGAAACATTCGTGCTTTTAAATCCTTTCATTTTATATATAGATGGCGCGATATTGCTTTGTGTTAATTTATGCCTAACTGACCTTGTCTTTATTGTTTGCGGAAGAGCATTGCTCGATGCAAATATTTGAATGTAATTCTACTGTCCTATAAGCTTATGTCCATAGTTTTCTTGAAAACCATTTCTGAGATTCCACCCTTCAGTGCTTCGTATATAAGCAGAATCGTCCATAACAGTACTAGAGCTCTGAGAAGCGGTCTGGTGGATTAAATTGGCGAAACCGCTGGGAGGGTTCACCACTGATGAGCCAAGCCCTCCAAATATATTTTTTATCGCAGTAAGGACAGTAGAAGTTTGCATTATGTATAAAAATAAATATTCGTGCTTTTAAATATTTTCATTTTATAAGTATAGATGGCGTGTTATTGCTTTGTGTTAAACACCAGTTTTGTTATACTGAGAAGCATCCATCTGGAGACCATGCTTTCATAATAATGGCCCGCTTCAGTCCAGGGCAGGCTTTAATTTTATGAGTTTCACAAGAGATCAAATGAAATATTCATAATGTGACAATAAGGTATTTAGATGGTAAAGTGGCTACACCAAATCTATGACCAAAATATAGATGGAGATTTTGATTGGGGGATAATGATCTATAATATTGATACATATATGTCGTAGCTGTCGTGGTCGAATGGAAGGGCGAGACCGTTGTGCATGTATGCGTCAAAAAAGAACTTGTTCGACACTCGGGAGCGCGCGCGCACGCGCTTACAATTTAACATAATAATTATGGTGAAAATAAATTATACATTTCGGGTATTATGCAAATTATGACATATATATATATGTGCAAATTTCCTCCCGGCAAAATGTCCATCTATATTTTAGCCATAGATATGGCCCAGCCACTTTGCCAGCTAAACACCTCTTTGGTAGATTGTCAAGATTCCATTAGATCCCGTGATCCGCCCTAGGATGACGAGGGCCATTAGCCCGAAACCATGGTCTCTAGGTGGACGCTTTTCAGTTTGCCAAAGCTGGTGTTGTGGGTTTGTCACCGACTCGAGGCCGCTAGTTTGCGGCGACGGTCAATAGATGGCGTCTAGTTTTAGACGTCTATTTTGACGGGAGAGGCGACCCTTGTTTCTTCAGATAGATATATATATCCCACCTTCTCTGTATATCAGGGATTCGATCAGCTTTTGACTGAATTAATATGAGTAAGTGTTGTGCCACATTCATTTACCGCTACCTTTGCTTTCTGTACTAAGGGGGATAAACTAGTACTTTCTTTTTATGTAATTTCAAAGGGAGAGGTTCCCCTTTCTGGTGTATATATAAAGAAAATTGTAAAATTGACAATAAAGGTAAATCTTTTTCAGAAAGTGGTTGAAATAATTAGAAAAGAGAAATGTATGCAAATATATATTTAACAAAGAAGCATGCTTACTATTATTTAATATAACTGAAAAAAATAACGAAGAAAAAGAGAAATTTAATGAGTAAGATAAGTTTATATTATTATTTTTGAGGTGAATATTATGAATGTATCGATAAATATTTGAAAATTGTTTAACAACAAGATTTAACAACGGAACTAAGCATTTAAATCGGCTTTAACACGTCATGTGCTTGTCCATATATATATATATATATTATATAAATAAAAAGAGATTTTCTGCTTAAATTTAGATCATGTTGAGGATTATGGTAATGCAGTCGTGGTTGAAATCTTGAAAGTATAATACTATATTTAATTGAACTAAAAGAATATATAAAAAACATAATTTGATTAAAGTACTTCGTGGCTTAAGGCGAGTAGAACAAGGAAAACAAAATATTATTTACATAATGTACAAAGATTTGAGCCGACCATCGGGAAAGAACAACAACGAGTTTTTATAGGGGAAGCATGACCTCTGGCGGTCGATTTAACAGAGTATTTAGATCTATGAAATATAATTTTAAATAGAATAATATTTTAATATAACATATATAATCTAAAAACTCAAATATTTCTATATTTAAAAAATATATATATTTTATTTTTATTCATTGATATTTCTACTTTTTCGTTATCATCGTTTTTAGAATGACTTTCAGTTTTGTTGTAAATATGCGTAGTTAACAAATCTATCTTTTTGAATCACTGATATAGGATTAACTTCATAAATTCTATATAATGTGAAAATAACTAATGTGTAATCTTTCCTCAAGTAATTGAAAATAAAAGCTACTTGATGGTAAATACTTATCTTTTTTTTTTATCACGACTGCACCTTCAACCCTTTATCTTGTCGATTCTTTG